CGCCCGGCTGACCGCTGATGTTTTTGTTTTTCTATCATTTTTTTTTTTGTATTTTTTCGTTTTTATTTTTATTTTCTTCTAAGTTTAATTAGCTGCTTCTCTGTGCTAGCTTTTCTTTTTACGTTTACTTAGAGCTACTTTTACGCTTTTGTCGTCGTTTTTGCTTTATTTTCTTTTTTAAATTTAATGAGCTTGTTTCTTGACCTTTCACTACCTTTCGCTACACCTGCGGCGATGTTGTTGCTGTTGTTGTTGTTGTCGCCCGATTTGCCTAACGTGCTGCATTTATTACATCTCCTTTTTTTACCTTCCATTTGCTTCTTCAAGTTTCATCTTGTGTGTTGCTGTGTGTGTGTGTGCTTGTGTGTGTGTGTTTTATGCATTTATTTATGTATTTCTTGTCTCATTTTTTTTTTTGGTTTCATCAAAAAAGTTTCAAAAAAATATATATATATTCATCATTTCCTTAAATTGGCTTAATTAAAAAATGTTTTTCTCATTTATGCTTTTCCATTTTTACTTTGCTTCCAGCCGCGCTTAACAACTCAGACTTAGATGTCTAAGTTTTGCCCTTTGTTTAAAACACAATTCAATTAATTTAAAATTTGTTATTGGAAACTATTTGGTGTAGGGTGAGTGTTAATAAAGCTTACTCTCAAATTTATATATAGCAAACATTTAACTACTAAGAAATCACACACGAATCGGAAAAACAAATACAAATCCAAACAAACAAACAAACAGACAAACAAACAAGCAAATTATGTCAAACACAAAACTTAAATGAAAAACAGTTTACAATTTTATTTTATATATTTTTTTGTTGGTTTTTTTTTTAAGTTTTTTTTATTCAAAGTTTTTTTTTGTTGTTTAGTTTTCAATTTTACGCACTAGACATTTGCTTTAAAAAGTACTTTTCAACACAATTTCATCAATTTCAATTTAAATTTCTGTTCCGTTTCGCTCGGTTTCTGCCAAATTTCAACTGGAGCGCAACCGGAAAACTTCAAGGTTTTTCCTTCTTATGCGGTTGTTGTTGTTACTTTTCTCTCTTTTAAGACAAATAATAAATTAACTACTTAAAATTAGTTAAAAAACTAAAGTAAAACGCATTAAATTAAAACAAAATACAGACGCAAAACAAACAAGTTTTAAGTTTGGCTTGTCAAAGTAGAATCAAAAAAGTTCAAATCAAAAAAAAAAAAATTAATAAAAACCTCTGCTCGCAGCGGCAGGCCTCAATAGCTGCAGCGCACCGCTCGCCAATTCAGGCCATCGATCGATCAGTGTATCGATTGTTTATCGACTGTATATGCAAAATTATAACTAATCCGAACTAGACGACGCGCCATTTACCAACACTGTAAAGTCTCTCGCATTCCTCGTTCTAACTACACAAAAACTACAAATTTCTAACGCTTCGTTCGTCGTCTTCGTCGCATTCTCCACTCCATCCATTCTAACCAACTAATTAAACGCTTGCGCGTTTCTACCAATTAAAAATCATATTTCCTACATCATCTACTCGCCCATTCTACTGTTTCTGGTTCGCGTTCCGCCTGCTGTCCTTAATCAACGCAACACTTCTTGTCAAATCTATACTTAGCTCTGCTAAACTTAAACGCTAGTGCTTTGATCTTAGTTACTAAGTTGTTGTTGCTGTTGTCTCTCCTACTATTTCTACGCCTACTCCTACTCCTACTCCTCCACAATCTTCGTCAACTTTATATTCTTCTCGTATTCTTTATAATCATCTACAACGTGTGTGTTTTATGCTCTTGGGGATTTTGTAGTCTGCCCCGTTCTTGGCTTAAAACTAGGGTTTCTAAACTTTTGCAGCTAAGATTTAAATTTCTTGCCCCTTCTTTTTCTACTTTCTTCTCATGTCCTTCTCGTTATAAATAACCTAAACTTTAATGTTTTTATGTTTTTTCTGCCTAAAAACAGCGCAAAAATGTTGATTAAGTTATGTTCGCTAAGAGTTGAAACAAAACGTATTTGAAAGTAAAATACAAATTTCATAAATAAATATTTTAAAACAAATCGAAAATTGCACTTTGTGTAGAGATAAAGAGTATAGATGTAAGGGGCGGGGCGGGGGGCTGAGGTGAGGGCTAAGTAAAGACAAATGTGAGCATGAAAACTCAAAAACAAAACTCTTGAAATTTTGTTGTATTTGTGATTTTTGCTTGTTTTTCAGTTGATTTTTCTCGTTTCTGTTTTGTTTGCAGAGGCGTCTCTTGTTTTTTCTTCTTCTATTAAAAATATTCAATTTGTGTACAAAATTTGTTAAGTTCTTTTTGCTTTTGGAATGTTTTTGCAAAATTATTGCCCCATTTGCTGGCTTCGACTGGCTTTTTGCTTCTCTGACGACGACGCTTGCAAGATTTGAGATGTGTGTGTGTGTGTGAGTCTGTGGGTGTATGTATATGTGTGCATGTGTGTGTGTTCGTGTGTATGTCTGTAGGGTCTGTCAATCCTGCATTTTCATTGAATTAATTTTCTTTTTATTGTTACATTTTTCATTTTGGTATTCAGTCTAAAGCAAATTACATATTGTACAAATTAAAAAAAAAAAAGAGTAGAAAAAAAATACGTTTTTTATAAATCATATTTGATAATAGTTGTTGTTTTCATATGTGTAATATTGATAAGAAAACATGCACTGCACTTTTGTTTTGGTTTAGGCTTAGGAAGACTTTTGGCGTTGTGTTTTCATTTTGTATTTATATATGTAGATTTCATAGATTGTTAGCGTATAGGCATTTAGACTTGACAATCAATCTATATAGATGAACCGAAAACACATACATATGTAGTTACCGTACATACATACATATGAAAATCAAAGACTTTGCTCAGGAATGTTTGTTTGTGTGTGTGTGTATGAGAGTGTGTCTTCTCTCTGTGTGCGTACGTGTGATGTGTGGGTGGAAAATGAGCGCGAACAATGAAATGATGAATCCCTACTGGAATCTCGCTGAATCTCAAACACTCTCGAATAAGTAACACTCAACACGCTCTGACTATCTCTCTCTCTCTCTCTTTCTCTTTTATTATTTCTTTCTGCCTTTCTCTGAGATTCTCAAAGCCACTGAACTAACTTTAAATCGTTTATGTATCAATATTTGATTCAGTAAAATCACAAATACAATGTGTGCTTAGGCGTGTTGTGTGAGAGTGTGTGTGGCGTGTGGTGTTTGGTGTGTGTTTGTCTGAATTTTGTCAAAGAAAATAAATACGCTAGGCTTTAATTTCAAACACTGTGCTGTCTGTATGTCTATTGATCTATTGATCCAACGATCCATCAACCCATCGACTATTTTTTAAGACTTACAATTAGAGACTAAAGAAATAATCGCTGCTCCATTCTCTTTTTCTATTGTTTTTTTTTTCTTTCTGTCGTCTTATTGCTATTTTGTTAATCATAAATTTAGTTTTTAAATTTATTTTTTTTTTAACATTAATTTGCTTTGTTTTACGCTTTTATTTCTGCTACTGCTGTGCCTTCTCTACTCTTGCTGTTGTCCTTCATTCTTCTCCAATCAATTCAAAACAATTCGCATCCTTTTCCACTTACAGATTCACTACGTTTTTCACGTACCACAATGCTAAGCTACATTGCTACAATTTCATATCGGGTTTATCCCTACTACTTGCTGGTTTTTCCCATCTTTTATAAAGTGTGTATGCCTCATTGTTTGCCTTGCACTTTCAATTTCTATTCCTATGCCTATGCCGTCTCTCAATAACATCCTCATAATTATTTTCATGACAATCATAAACATCTTCATTCATTCCCGACTCTGCTAAACTCTGCTACAGCTTGTTGTTGTTTTTGTTGTTTGTTTGCAGACAAAAAATACGCTATGCTATCTTCTATCTTGCTGTTGTTCTTCTTCTTATTCCAATTATATATCTTAGTTTTAGTTACTAGAAAAAAACACACACAGTTAAACGTAAAAAACTGTAGACAGCTACAAAAAATTCATTAAATCGACTGATGAGCACAAAAATATGCTAAAAACTAGTACAAGATTTCATATTTTTTGTTTATTTTGTTTTTGTTTTTGTTATTTCTTCTTCATCAATTTCATCATCGTCTGTTGTGTTGCCTATTCACGTTCTTCATACCTATCATCGCTTATCCATCGTCTCTTCTTCTGTTTTTGTTAGACTCTAAATCTACTAAATTTGCTGCTTACTGCATTTTTGCTAGTACTTAAACCTAGTTTTTTTTCATTTATTATTATTTAACTTTCTGCTGTTTGTTTTATAGTTTCAGGAAAAATTAGCAAAATGTGTGAAACGTTTGCAATTAACAAATAAATCTTTAAATAGTTGCAATTCCCATTTGTTGTGGGTTTGCATTTTTCTTTACAATGTCAACTCTCTTGTCGCTCTTCACGCTCTTTCGAGAGAGTAAGAGACAAAGTTCGCGCTCTTTACTTTGTGCTTTAAACACTTGATTCTTAAAAATCTCATTCTCAGCATTCATTTTAAATAGTTTGCCTGACAATTTGAATGGAAAAAACATAGAAAACCAAAATAGTTTTCATCGTTTTTTTTTTTTATCATTTTCTTATGGACTATAGAAAATAAATTTATTCGCTCTTGCTTGAGTTTTTATGCTTTCATTTAATTTATCTTTTTGTTTTGTTGTAAATCATCAAATTGTTTTATTTCCTTTCTTGTTTGTTTTTATTTTGTTTTTCTTCTGTTTTCGTTAATTTTTAACATACATTGCACACATTTTTTTTGGGTTCTTCGGTTTTCATTTGCTTTGCTTCGTTTCTTCACAAATGTTTGTGTTTTTCTCTGCTTAAACATTTACATGCGCTGCTTTTCCCATTTTCTCTTTTAATGCAAGTTGTTGTTATGTTTGTTTTTGTTTTATTCCTTAAATAAATTTACTTAACTAGAGTTTTGCGTTTTCTCTTTGCAAATTGTTGTTGCTTCAAGTTTATGTTTGCAGTTTTGCCGTTTTTATTATTATTTTGTTTTCTTTTAACTCCTCTTCTAAGAAAATGTTGCCCCCTTCTGGTAAGTTTTTCCTGCTTTCAATGAAATCTTCGACCCCTTTCTACTACTACTTTCTCGTTCACTTTTGCTGTTGTTTAAGCATGTTTGTTTTTTTAGTGTATAACTAATAACTATTATTTAAGTTTAGTCTTTGCTTTTCTTCACTTTTTTACGCTCTCATCTTAACTCCGTTTCGCTCGCTCTTACACTTTATCTATGTATGTATTTTTCTTTCCTTTGTTGCTGCTTCTGCTGCTTTCTCTTTTATACATAACTCTTAATTCTCTTTCTCTAGCTTTTCTTTATTTTTTTAAACATTATTTTTTTAGGGAACAGCATTTTCGACTGTTATCAAACTGTTTCTGGTCTGATGTGGCCTTCTCCTTCTCCTTCTCCTCCTCTTCAGCTTCTTCTTCTGCTTCTTCTTGTTGCTGTTTTCTTCAAGCCAGTTCTTTTGTTTTTGTTGTAGATGTTGTTGTTTTTATTATTGTTATTCCAGCGCGTAATGCTCCCAACGCTAACCCTCCATCACGTCCATTAAATAGTACTCAAACGGGGTACTAAAATATTATATCTGCAATGTTGATAACCGATTAGTTAAGCATAAATGATGTGTATATTTAAAGTGAGGTTAGAATGAAGGGGATCTGTGATTTCAGTAACTATATCTATTTAAAGGAAATTTTTCTCTTTGCAGTAACACTTGATATAAATATTATTTTTGATTCAGTTTATAAAAAGTAAGTTTAGGGTAAGCGAAAGCTTCAGAAACTTATCATATCTAAGGGAAAACTTTCTATAAGGATTAACTACTTATTCAATGCTCTTTAACAATAACCTTTCGTAGGCATGTTATTCATTTTATTTCCTTAAACAATTAGGACTTTGTTTCTTCTTATATGATAAACATTTTGGGGAAACACTTTCACTTAAGTTTAGCTAGGAAATTCATGGGGAATTGGGTAGATTTTGCATGCAGGTAAGGGATGCATAATTGTTATATAAGCATGATATGGATGATATTTACCTAGAATGTGTTACCAGTGTTTAGGCTGCTTAGTAACTATACTAAGTATGCAAGAAGGAGCGTATGTTGTGATTGTTGTAGTTGTAGTTGTGGGCGCAGGAATAAAAAAGAAGTAGAAAATAAACGAATTGCGCTTAGTTACGAGAGTTGAAGAGTTTAAAAGTCATGAACAGATCTTGTAAGCAAACAGGCAAGCAACAACAAGCAGCACACAAAACGAATGAAAAGAAATGTGTGTAAAAAAAAGAAGATGATAAAACAAAATCACCAATGATCGGGAAATTAGAGAGAGTATTGCAAATGTGAATTGTGATTTGAAATGAGGCGAGTGAGTATTGAACAAGTGTAAGTGGGGAATGAGAAACCAAAACACACAGCGCATGCAGCAAAACAGTGTTGGCAAACGTAAGAAAGCGTACAACGCTCTAAATGGAGTGGCCGAGCACAGTGAGTGCCCGCTAAAGAGGCCATTGCATACAACAAAGCACAACTAAAGCAGATGAATGAAGGCTCTATGTCAGGGCAGAGAGATCAGAAAGAGTTTCGAGACATGGACTTAGTAACAGACGGAAGAGACGTTGAAAAATAGACACAGAGAGAGAGAGAGATAGAAAGAGAGATTGAGAGAGAGACAGAGAGACATCACTCACCTCGCGAAGACCTATTTGGGAGCGGCTTGATGTGGATACTGTGTGTATGCCTCGTCGGGTGATGCAGCTGTGCTAGCCTGTTCGGAATCTGTCATTGGCATTGTTGGTATAATAGTTGGTGGTGGTGCATAATATGGATAAGTTGGACTAATATACTGTAACGATGGAGAAAAATTCTATAAAGGAACCGAAAAGAGAACGGAAAAAAACAATGGAATAAAAGAACAGATATAGAATACAAATTATATATCAAATATCATTCAAAAATTCAATTGCAATTGCACACAAACACGACCGCACACACACAAATATTGAGAATAGATGATGAACAAATATGAAGAGACGCACGCATCTTCAATGTTTTCTACATCTATTCAATAATGATCTAGATAATACTCATGCTTGTCTATGTAAACATATGTTCATATATCAGAGCTGAAAGCCTCTTTTACAGCAAAAATAAATATATATAATAATATCAAGGAATAGTAAAGAAGTAATCGATATCGATAGGGAAGTAATCGATAAGGAAGTAATCGATATCGATAAGGACGTAATCGATATCGACAAGCACGTAATCGATTTGGACATTTTCAGCTCTGATATATATATGCATCCATGCATGAGTATTTTCTGAGTTGTTGTTCGTTATATAACTGTTCAGTTCAGATCGGACACCCGTTAGCACTTACAGAGTTGCCAATCTGCAGGGTGGCCAACTGTGGCATCATAGTTCCATATGGCACAGCCGTGTCACCACTGACCATCATCGATATGCCGCGTGGTTGCACCTGATTAACAGCCTCCGGTTTGTACGAGGTGACGCCCAACTGGGGAGCGGCAGCCATTTGCATGTACTGCAGGGCAGAGGAGGAATACTGATAAATGTTGGGCATATGTTTGCCAAATACGGAATAATATGCAGCACTCACCTGATCATCTACCTGAGTGATCGGCTGTGTCATCATATAGCCGGGTATCCATTGCGAGCCAGCGACCGGATAGCCACCAACCTGTGGTGCCCCGAAACGGGAATAGGGCACACCGATGGGTGTGCCAACATTGACGCTGACACCATTCTGTTGCATGGTCGGATCGTAGGCAACGGGTATGCCCTCGGCGGAGACATCGCGCCACGCACGCGCATTCGGATCGGGCGTCTTGAAGAGATTCTTCTTTTTGGGACCGCCATCGGCGAATTTCACCAATAGCGGATCTTTGGCACCCGGTATTGTGTTACCGTTGAACATTTGTATAATTTGTTCGCATTTCTCGCGGCTCTCCATGCGTGCAAAGCCAACGCCTGCAAATGGGATATAGTTTTAATAAGAGATTTATTATATATAATATCTAGCGTACAACACCCGGATTTGTTCTAACTATTTATTTTTTAGACAAACCAACCAACCTTCACTAAATCTACAGTCCATATATTAAAATTTATTAAAAGTCAAATGGATTAAGATTAAAGAATTGCAATGAAATTTCCTTCTTTCCTTTCCACAATAGTTTTCCACCACATTTTCTACACTTGCGGACAGAATCAGGTAACTAGAACAAAGCCTATCTCTAAGTTTCAATTAATCTTGTCAGTCTGTACAGAGTTTATTTATATATATATATATATATCTATATATCGCTCTATAGACAATGAAATATCCAGACTTCAAGCTTACCCTTTGAGTTCATTTGCTGATCACGCAATATTCTGGTGGAGACAACTTGACCATATTTCGCTAGCATTGCCTCCAGATCGGTTTCTTTGAAGTGTGGCGGCAAATTTGCAATATACAAATTTGTGGGATCCTGTTCCTGTTGCTGTGTAGTTGTTGGGCGCATAGGATAGCAGCGTGTGTGTGTTGTTGTTGTTGTTGTTTGTTGTTCATTGTTGTTGTTGTCGTGGTTGTTGTTGTTGTTGTTGTTGGAGGATCAATCGAATCAAGTTTTAGTTGAATTTGTTTCGTTTGTTTGAAAAATTGCACACATAAATTGAACATACACAAACAAAAGCAGTTTTGGCAGAAGCGCATGTTGTATGTGTGTGTGTGTGTGCGCGCGTGGAAGTTAATGGAGTGTGTATTAGGCGTGTCGTGTGTGTGTGTGTGTGTGTGTGTATGGATGAGCGACACAGACGACGCATTATCAAAGAGAGAGAGAGAGAGAGAGAGGAGGAAAGAAAATTAAAACGTAAAATTTTGTCATTAGTAAAATTTTTAGTAAAATTTCAAAAATTTGCTGTTATTGGTAACTGGCTCTGTGTGTGTGAGTGTGTTTGTCTGTTGAGTGTGTGTTGCAGCGTGTGCGTGTGTGTGTGTGTGTGTGTGGGTGTTGTTTTAGTGTGCCTGACTTAATGCTTTGTCGAATGTTGTATGTTGTTCATGTAATGCCAAAGACCTAAAACATTGCTTAATTAAAATATACCTAAAACACAAAACTAGCGAGTTTTTCCGCCAACAGACCTAAGATATAGTCAGATATATACAGACTGTATTGGTACAGTTAGTGTGAGATGTATGCGCATGTATGGAATGTATGTTTGTATGTATGCAGAATTGCCTAGTTATGCACTTAATTAAGTTAAATACCTGAGCACTTATGTATGTCTTAGTTTTAAGGTGAGTTTTTTTTTTTATTATACTTAGAGTTTAGATTTGGTTTTGTTTTTGTAGTATATATATTTCTTTTTTTCTTTTATAGAGCTTAGTTAGTTTTTGGCCGGCGCAGGTTTGTAGCATTTTGCGTACTCAAACAACAAACTTGGTAGGTTGATTATATGGCTGGCTATAACTTCAAATATACGATTACAGTTTATACAGTTTTTGAGAGATACATGTTATGCAGAGTATAAAAAGTTTATACATATATATAAAGAGAAAGAGAGTTAGAAATTAAATGAGCATCAATTCTAAGTAATATTTGTAGCTAATGTATTAAATTTCGTTTACGTTACTTTACGTTACGTTACGTTACGTTAGACTTCACACTGACTGTTTGTACAAAGAAAAATATATAATTATTTAATGAGCTCCTAAATGGCATCGATTTATCAACTATCTAGAGCTATAGTTGGTTATAAAGCTATTTGGTTTGATTTGTTTACGTGTTTACATAGCTATCGATTTTTCCATTTTTATCTTTATACCAGCTAATCAATTGTTACGATATGTGTTACGGATCGAAGTATATAACATTATAATTTGATTTCCTCTATTCAGCTACTGACTCTGACAGTCTATGTGGATTGTGTATGTGGACCAAGTTGGGTTAGTTACGCAATTATTGACTTACTACTTAAATTCAAAATTATAAATGATATGTAACTAGGGTGTAACTATTTTATGTATTTGTAAGTTAATACTGAACGAATACGCAGAAAACGGTTAAGAACATAAATATAGCAAGTAACCAGTTTTATGCTTTTATAGCGACTCTCCCTTTAGGCAGACAGCCCTCTTCTGGGAATATTCTACCATAAAACAGACTATGCCTATTTACCCTCTATTAGGCAGACATTTGGAAAACTTTAACTGTATCGTATTCAGGGCTGGAAATCATTGTTGAAACAAACCTTACCCACAATTCGGTTGAATTGAACTCCGAAACTTATAATATATATATATTTTTATACCCTGAACCTATTAAAGAATGAGTAAAAAGGGTATATTGGTTTTGTGCAAATATATATAACATTCAGAAGAAAACCTCTTCGAACCCACAAGTCCAATAGCCGAATCGATCTAGGCACATCCGCCTTTCTATCCGTCCGTCCGTGCGTATACTTGATTGGTTCTATCTCAGATCCTTTAACAGACAGAGTATCTTTAACTTTATACCCCTTACAGTGAGCTGCATTTGGTATTCGTGTAAGGTTTAGGGTATCCCCTAGTCGGACACAGCGCTCTTGTTTTTATAGTCTATACATAATTGCTGCAAAATTCTTTTTAATATGTTTACTCGTTAATACTATATTAATAAAATACTTTAATATGTGAATATATGTCAGAAATACTAAAACATTAAATTAAAAACTATTTTAAATCTTTGATATAATATGATTATATTGTTTGGGCGCAGTTTTCTATTCGTATAACCTTGCAGTTGCTTTAAGAATAGGAAAAATCAAACTTAAGGTCTGTCGAGTTCTCAGATTTAGAAAACATTCTGTGAACTTAAGCTGCGTGCATTTCTTTTATAATGCATCGGATCGGCCTGCTATATTAGCTAGCTTGACAATAATTGGCATATCCGCAAGGCTATAAAAACTACGGCACGCCGAAGTTTTCATCTTTGTATCTGTGCTAAGTTAATACCTCGATGAACTGGGTTAACGAGATGTTTGTACTTTCAACTAAGCGATACGTAACTACTACCTATAGATCTATTTATATTACACTAAATGAATACCTGGCCACTATTGAAATGAAATTTGTTTGAAAATTAAAAATCGCTTTCAATGCAATTAATTTACCAACAAATCCGCTAAATTGTTATTAAATTTGCATTAATTTTTCTTTCTTTCTTTTTATTTGTTTTTCTGCTAAAGGAAGATTAAAAAGAAGGATTATAAATTGGCGTAATAACGTTTTTTGAATAATAAATACTAGTGAGAGAGAGAGAGCAAGAGGGGGGAGCAATAATACAACCAAATCGAAATTAATGAATGACATTAATAAATGCATTTGGCTTCAATTATTATTAAATGTACACTAAATTGAAACGCATTTTAAATACGTATTTAATTGAACACTTTCGCAGCTAGACTCGATGAGCTCGATGAGGAAATATATCTACGAGGATATTGAAAATAATTTAAATAATTTCTTGTGTGGCTGCTTTTGATATATCCAAATTCTCAATTATGAATTAATAAACATGTTTAAGCTACGCTAAAAATGATTCATAGATGATTACTAAAGTTGGCTATAAATATGTACTAGAATATAATTCGTGTATGTGGGGTGGGACTAAGTAGTATATAATGGGGTTTATAGTATATAGTACGATATACGATATACAAGAGTCGTTTATATAGTTTAACAACACTACAAACTAGGGTTTTGGCTAAGGTTTGGGGGGCGTGGGCGGGCACAGGTTTTTGGGGTAGGTTTTGACTGAATTCAAAAATAAACGAAAATAAGAGTTGCGAGATTTATAAAAATAATTTGGCAATTTATTTTGGCCGCACACATTTTGTGTGGGAGTTGCAGAAACTTCACTCAGCATCGCGAATCAATATAAATTTGCAAGCAATTCCGAACGGATTCAACCGACTCTTTGGCAAACTGACAGCACAAATGTGCAAACTTTGTGAAATGGAAATGCAAAGGGGGTCGCAGCAGGCAGACAAAGGATAAAAGAAAAAAGGAAAAATCCCAAACTGAGTTCGCAGCTCTGGCGAATAACTTAAGCTCCGGCGTGGGCATATTGACCTTTACAGGATGCGCGTGGGCAGCTCCGAGCTCTGAGAGATGTGTGAAATTATTCTCGAGTCCTCGTTTGGGTTTGTTTGCAAAGGAATTTTACATATACATATATATTTGAAAATGACTGCAGTCTAGTGTAAAGTCGAATCGAAAGTTCGAACATATAAAATTCCAAATTTAAATAAGAACTCGACGAGAAACGCATTTGCAGACTGCGTTAGGATAACTTTCCATTTGAAAATCAGGTGCAAAAGTTGCCTGTTGCCGTTTTGCAAATCCTTTTGAAGAGTTTGCAATAAAAAAGTCAATATAAAATATATATATAAAAAAAAATTCTTATAATAAAATCATATTCTTAAATAAACTTAAAAACAAAAGCAATTTGAAGCACAGTGTAAACGAATAATAATGTTGGGTTAGTTGGATATTGTTTAATGGGTTTTAGTTTAGGGTTAGATACGGATTAGGGGAATGGTGTCCCGGTCTAGGGGCTGGCTGGTGTTGGGTGGGTTGGATCGGGATAGGATAGTTTGCGGTGTGAGGGGTGAGTATTACTTGCATGCAAACAAACGTACAATGGCCGGCCTATGAAGCACCCAGATACCCACTTTGGCCATCTGAGCTTGCACGCCCTTCGCCTGCAGTCCCTTGACGGCGCCCTCAGCGTAGGCTGGCTGCTCGAAGTCGACGAAGCCGTAACCTGTAAGAAACATATTTTGTTTTTGTTTTGTTTTTGTTTTTCGTTTCGTTTTTGGTTTTAGTTTTGGTTTTGGTTTCGGTTTTTGTTCGTTTTGTTGCGTGAGTGTTTTTTGTTTTACAGGGGGGCGGAGGTGGAATTTTTTTAATTGCATGTTGAAATACATATATAAATATATATATAATTGTTTAAATAGTTTAAATATTATTTGATTTTTGTTTGCACACATTTTAGAAAATTGATTTTTTTTTTAAATTCAACAATTTTTGCACGTGCAAAATAAGTTTTAAGAATGAAAAACAATCAAAAACAAAAACAAAATATATTCGAAAAGAATTTCGAAATAGATAAGAGAGAGATTGACAGAGAAAGGTGGGAAGAGAGAGAAAACGGTAAAAATAAATTAATTATTTCTTGGCACATCATTTTGCTGTAACTTAAAGAGAGCAACGGGAAGTGTTACGTAAATAAATAAATTATATTATATACTATAATAATAATTGTATGCATATCAAAAAAGGGGTACAGAAATAAACCAAATTGCAAAATAGACAAAGCCTTTCACATAATACACACACACACAATTTGTACAGCTCGTTATTTGTGGCACATTTTATATATATATTTATAAGAGCGGGTATTATCAATATAATTATCATTAGCAGTAATAATAATAGTAGTTATAGTTAATATATTTGGGATTAGAGTGCAGTAGTAGATAGGTGAATGCATGAATGATTCGATTGCGAAATGAGAAATATACGAAATTATAAACTCAAAAATCAAGAACTAATCAAATGAAAGCCAAAGAAGTTTAAACATACAACAAAAGATCGATAATTTCTTAGCTGCCAATCGATAATTTTGTCCTTTATCAATAAAAATAATAATAATAAAAAAAAATACATCAAAATACCAGACACAAATAACGAGATCGAGCAATAAGACTTAAGCAAAATACTTGAGAAAACTATAGACAAATTAAATATGCCGAGTACTCAAGGGTTTTTTTAACAGAAACTTAAAAAATATTTAATAATAATTTGTAAATATTTCTTCAACTTTATAGTTAGTTCTTTGTCAGATTTGGTTATTATTATTATTTAAATCAGATTTTTGTGCCCTTTGAGTACTGCGCATATTTGAAAACTTATAAAAGTACAAAAAATACATAAAATAGAGAAAAGAAAACTTTGTCAGAAATAATTGATTAATATTAATTTTGTTGTATTTGTATTCTCTTCTTTTTTTTGTTTGTTTTTGATTACATAACACATACTAATAATACATATACGAAAAACACACATAAATAAAATAATGATGAGAATGGTGAAGAAAAAAATACCTTTACATTTGTTTGTTGTTTTATCTAAAATAGCCTTGGTTGATATTATTGTTCCGTATCTGTAAGGGAGAGAAATAGAGCGTAGAAAAGGTAAAACAGTGAATTAGTGAGCGCAAAAAACATGTGTAAATTAGACGTAAAAATAAACTTAACGGCTTTTGCATGTCCGTGGCGTGCATGTGTGTGTCAGAGTTAACAGTTGTTTATATAAAATTATATTTCATTTCTGTCCTGCTGTTTGATTGTCATAAGCGATGTGCGTGTAAGGCTTTAACTGGCTTGTTCTGTTAGCTCTTTTGTTTTTGATGTGGGTTTTGTCTAAACGTCACGACAAAAAGATATAATAATAATAATTTTGGTTTCTAGGATACAATATATATGTATATGTGGGCGGCAATTAAATAGTCATTAAAATGCAATATTTATGCCGCGCGCTGAAAAGTAGGCAACGAATTATATTCGTGGCGCTGAAAATTGCTTATTTGTGCTTGGACCAGACGAGTCCTGTCAGGCAAATTAAATCGATATCAGCATAGTTACAGACATCGATAGGACACACACACACACACACACACAGCCCGTACGCCCACATCTTTAGTTATACGAATAAGCGCTTATATGTAGTTATAATAACATTAGAGCTTGCCCAGCGAATAAGCCGCTTATTTTGATTGCCTCGCAGTCAAGCAGCTGCAGCAGCAGCAGCAGTCGAAAGAAAAAAAAAAACATAATAAAGGGTGGGCTTAGGCGCACAATCCTGCCCCAACCCAAAGCCTTGCTACGCTAAAAAAAGAACAGCAGCAAATTAACCTTCAATTTAATTACTTGACTTATTAGGCAGCGAGCGGCCCCTTTCAGTTAAGACTGGACTCGTGTAAGCTCTCTAGCTGCCCCGTAGGACTTGACTTAGCGCCGCCTTCCCCGTGGCTTTTTTCATTATTTTTTTTATGTGCCTGGCATCTCTCTCTATATATATTTTTATGCATATTTTGTTGCTCCGCCTAAATAAAGTGCGCAACGTTGCGTATGCGTAATATATAAGCCATAATGATTACCAAATGGTTGTAGTTGAAGTTTTAGTATTTGTTTTTATATATATTTTTTCGTGACCATTGATGAAGCGTGCGCTCTAATTAGTGGATTTTGTTTAGTTTTGCTAAAACCCGTTTCCTGCGAAGTAGAACGGGGCATACAAATATATATATTTGTTGGGGGTTGCTTGCCTCCCCCTGTGCCTGCGCCCTGAACTGATAGCGGGCGAGTGCTTGGGGCGGCGCTGGTGTATTGAGTTGTATGTGGCCTTTGTAGAAATTCAACGAAGCGGAATGAGCTGAGGCTTAGCTGCTCATTAGCAGAGCGGGAGTGGGGCACAAATTGAATTTTAGCTTTGGGTCATGCTTGCAACAAATTTTGATACATTGGCCATAAGGCTAAAGGCTTCGCACCACCCCAAAACATTTGAACGGGCTAGTTCCAATAGATATACATCGAACAATTTAAATGCCAATCGATAAGCCGCAATTCTATTTAAATGTACACATTTTTCATGCAAACGCAACTGAATTGTACGTTTAACCATTGAATTCCATGCCGGGCTGGAATTATTAATATTTAAGCAGAATAGCAGATATGCCTACAAAGGATTGTTATTTGATTTACTGCGAAGGCACATCAATTAGTTAATGAAATAAATATTGAATTAATGTTCGTTTAATTTAATTGAAATCCCAATTTAAACTTTATTTTAAATGCTATATAACAAAATTTAAGACTTCTTTAAGCTAATGCGCGGACTATGCAGAGTTTCTCATGGCTATCTTTTGTCTATGTATTATAACATTTTAAGGACCCATATCTTTATATATATATATATAGTTGTATTTGAATAGATGATACTCACTGTGCACACATATTGATCAGATCCTTATCGGTTGTGCCTTGCTGCAGTCCGCGTATATAGAGATTTGTCTTTGACAACTGCTCGCCGCCCTGTTGATTTTGATTCTGTGCCGTGCCGTTGGGACCCATTGTGGTGTTTGTGTTTGTCGTGTTGCTCAGACTGGTGCTCAGTGTGCCGCTCTGGGAGCCCGTGTTCGATGAGCTGCTCGAGTTCGTGTTGCTCGGTGAGGCTGCAGTCGGAACACGCTGGCCGTACTGGAGTTCAAAGAAAGAGATAATAGAATAAAGTATAAGTGAGAGCGAGCGAGAGAAATGGAGCGCATTGTTGTTAGATTGACAACAAACTGTCCACAATATGCACACGCAAATATTCAATGCTTTCCCGATTATATTAAGCGATATTTTCAATGTGTGTTCCACAGCTTTGTGTCTCTCTGTCAGCATTTGTATGTGTGTACGCGTGTGTGTGCATGTGATAAAGTATTTTTATTGAAATTCCAATCAGGCATACGAAGTTATTGAATGGCTGAGAGCTCAACTCAATGCCATACACACATAAACACGCACATATATATACACAATGCACAAAGCATATGCCATATGGATGTGCATATGCATGTGTGGGTAGTCGAGGTATAGTTGGCAAAGGATACACTGAAGGATATACAGCGAAAGGCATGTGGACCAAAGCTGTGTTGATGGCGTTTTTCACTTAAAATGCCACAAAATAGTGCAAACGCTTCTGAGAGCGTGTGTGTGTGTGTGTGTTTGAATATAGCACAGCGCTGCAGGATATTTGGCAGCATTGCAAGGCAAGCGTTGAAAATCCATAAAATTTGTATGCAACATAGCACACAGTCACATACACACACACACAACTGGCACTTGATACACTTATATTTTGTAGTTTTTTATTGTTTGGAAATTTGCCAAAAACAAAAGGCTAACTATATTATATTAGCAAAAAGAACAACAAAAAATCTGCAGCAGTAGAGGATTAAAAAATATATGCTTAACAAAAATGAAGTGCAAATAAGTGCCGCCTGCCACGCCCCTTCCTTAAAGCGATTGCAATTTTCTAATTGTTTTTGTTATCGATTTTGTGCTTCCATTTGCGATTGCAACACGAACCTTATCTTGTCGTGTCTAGTGTCATGTTAGCTGCCACATTTTGTGGAATTCAATTCGGTTCGCAGCTGTTGCAACTGCGGCCGCAGCGATAAGCGTTACAATTAAAAACCGCAACACAAAAAAACAAGGGGGAGGGTGGGGGGTAACAATTTAATATATTTAATATTTTAAGAACCAACCGCAAATTATTTAAATTAAATTAATATCATGCTGTTTTTTTTTAAATATTTATATTTTATGCGGTTACAAATTTTTAATCGTATCAACAATTTTAAATATGTTGTACTACAAGGTTTTTCTCATTTACTATAGAGTGTAGCATGGCAACGCCCATAGCGATACGGGGAAATTTCGCATATATGAGTATGCATTAATTCTCAGGAGAAATCCCAAATTGTGTTTGAGTATCTCTCTCTCTCGTTCTCCTTAAGCAAACCGTCAAAGAATTTAAGACTTGACTTTATGAGAAGCGCATAGAAACCCTATTCGGAACAGAAAGTATCTAGTTAGTGAAAGACGTGCCAGAAGAAGCTAGAAGACTAACACAGTAAAAGTTAGCTAGCCAAAGATAGGAAGAAAAGTTCTTCTTAAATTAATGAAAATTGCATAGAGGAGCGATTCGCAGCTAAGCATAAAAAGAAGGAGGCTTCAAAAGTATATCAGCTGTATAGTCTTGCTTAGCTTTTAAGCATGTGTGAAAAGTTTGATTGACAGTCGAGTTGTTGTAATTGCTGATGCTGAGATAGCGAACAACTGAAATTTACTTTTTCAATAAAGTACAAAAGGGGCGTAGCAGCGAGGGGCTGCCAAGGGGGTTATATATATGGTAAGAAGGCAACGCCTACACGCTTCACATAATTTCCTGTTTTATTTATTTTACTTCTTTTTTGACAATTTCTCCCAGCATGTGATGAGGGGCATTGAAGCGCGAATGTAACAGAGCAAATATTGTGAATGCTGATAAAATATTTGATACAAGAAGCACAAGACAGGGCAGAGTTGTATGTGAGAGAGAGAGGGAGAAAGATGCAAAGAACTGGAGACGAGACGAGTTCAAGTGCGAGTTCATTTCTTTTGCACAGTTTTGTTATCTTTTCTGCCAGCGTAAGTACTTGTAATACATATACCCAACACACACACACACACATCCACAGTTTATGTGAACACTAGAAGAGCCCGGGCTCACAAACTTCTCTCAATTGTGTATAAAACAATTTTCGGGACTTGTCGTTTGCCATGTTCTCGCTGTCTCGTAATTAAATAATAAATTCAACTGAAAAATCGTATATGCTGGGGCTCAAGCATGATGACTATTTGCATGTATGTATGTATACAAACAAATGTATGTATGAGTGTGCGTGTGGCCTGACACATTCATACGCCCCGTATGCCAATGAACTGAACGCTGTTTTTTCTGCCGTCTGATAATGAAATTATATCGTTCGCATTATTTAAAGCGCACAGCAACAAGCGCGAATGGCATAAACTAAACACACACAAACGTACAGACACCCACACACGTACATACACACACCATACCATATACATGTTTGCCTATGTGTGTCATTCCAAAAATGGGCGAGCGTCGTGTTGGCTGCCGTTTAAAAAAATACAAAAAGTTTCTTCATTTCTTTTTCGCTATTTGCAAAATTGCGTCATTTGCAAAATATTTCACGCCGCAGCAGCAAAAACAACAATAAAGAAATAACAACAACACCGCATCAAACTCTACTCTCTTTTTTTGTAAGCTGTTTTGTTAACTATCTTTGCCTTCCTAACGCGGCTCATTCTCCGCCCCCCTCTTCCGCTCTTGCGTTGCCCGTGGTGCGTGGCGAACACGTGTGCAGACTTTAAGTTAATTTTTCACAGTTTATTACACTCCTACTTCTCCATTTCTGCTTCTTGTTTAAGCTCGTATTTGTTTTAATTTATAAAGTTTCTGTTATCATTAACCTTTCGCTATTATTTATGTGGCTTTCATTTGATGACTTTTGAGTATTAGAAAGGTGGAGAGAGACGGAGACGAAGAGTGGGGGACAGAGACAAAAGCCAGCAATGATGATAAAACTACAATTTGATGTTATGAGCTTAAACATTTTGATTGCCTCCATCCAAATAACAATGTTAATAATCACGTTAATAATGGCAATAATGATAATTCTGATGATATGGCAAACGGATGTCAATCACGCAAGTGCAAACAGGCTAAGAGACTTTTTGCTCTACTAAAGGTAAAGTCAGTTGCTAAACATGTTTAACGAGTCACATATGAGTGCTTGTTATTGGTTACTTTTGTTTTACCTTAAATGATGACTAAAGTCTGGTAAAAGTAGGTTTAGCAACGTTTGTTAACACTGGAAACGCACTGGTATTCTGAACATATTTTAGGGTAATCATATTTTACAAGATACTTCGCTTTGGTAGCTATTTCAAATGAAAGCTTTACATTTACCAATACTGGTGATTCGCAGCATAAATAATCCTTGAAAATATTATATTCGTTTACTAACACTAAGACTTTTTTAACTAATTCTTCAAATATTTGCTATTGATGTTTATATTTTATATATAAATTAAATGCATTATTTTTCATACCAGTTTCCATTAGAGACCTACATTTTACCGTAAATTTTACAATCCAATAATATTCTTATTGGTATTTCCTAACACTAACGCTTTTCAGCAACAATAATCTCGTTTACTAACACCAAGCTTTAAATTTCCTTAGTTTAACTTTCTTTGATTATGATAAAAGTATTCTCACTGGCGTTATTTATATTATTGGATATAAACATAACGCATTTTTATTTAGTTTCGTTTCCTATACTTATTTTACTATGGATTTACATTTAGTTTAGCTTAATTTCTAGCCACCTGGCATCAATCTTTAATGCAGCATGCACAAGTCAAATGTTGCTACCATTCCATTAAGATTAAAACAAGTGCCCCTTTTTTTCTCCCCCTTTTTTTTTTTGCGTGGTCAGTCTTTGGCAGAAATGAAACCCGTCTCGAGTCACGTGCCAAAAGTGCCTCAAGTAAGCAACCCAAAACATCAAATACAGAGCATAACACCACACAGAGCATATACAAATGGACTTATTTGTGATTTATGATGTCGCCGACATGAGCGCCATATAATTCATTTAAGCAGCGCCCGTTGATGTCTTCCCTACTCCTGCCCGCCCTCCTCTCAGCTCTTTCTCTAAAGAAGCTCTTTCATTCTGTCTCTCGCTCTCTTGATGTCTTTGCTAATAAATCAAAGGGGCAGTCGCATTGCACTTGTGCCAAAAATATATATACCATAACCATAAATCCACTCAATCACGATTAGCGACAGTTATTATTTGTCTCGCTGTCAACCCGTTGCCGAGCTGTGTCTTAAAGATACACAGATACAGCTTTGGCAAATATATATTTAAACATGGTTTGGCAATTGTTAAGACTTGGTTGCTGTTGACTTTTGGGACTAGGCAAATCTCTTGGTGACTGCCAAAGTCATCAAATCAAGAAGCAGTCAGCTAAATCCGGCACGCTTCGTCTTTTCGACTGATTGCGATTCTTGAGGTTGAGATATGAAAGGGAGGGGGGGGGCAGCACTGTGGTTGGGGGTGTGGGCGTCGCTCTGTGTGTGCATAAAAAATTCCGCTCACGTGACTTCTATAAATTAAATGCGTATGTGAAGGGTAGAAACTGGTATCTGGTACGGCAGCTGATAGATGGGCCATGCAGGAAGGAAACCCTGGCAGTCAGAGCTGAGAGATACAGAGTCAGGAACGAGCCCTCCAGACCCCGGCTCGGGCTAGTCCTGCCTCAGCAATACCAGAATTTGCCATTGGCGAAACGCATAATTGACGCAAGTCATGTGCAAAGCGCGGGCCGTGTGCCTGTATGTGGGGGGAGGCAAAGGAACTTCGCCTGGCAAATAATTCAAATGCCTGCCGTGAAACGCGAATTTCGGATTATCAGCCCATGACGCGGCAGGTGGCAAATGAACCGGGGGGCATGCAGCGGGCACAGGCGCTGTAATTTTTCAAATTCTGCTCAACATAATCCGCATAAAATGATTTCAACTCTCGAATCTGGCGTGTCAGCAATCGATAAAAGTAAAACCGTAAGCGTAAGCT